CGATTCATCCGACCACAAAACCAAATCAATAAAATCATTTTCATTATGCATTTTCTGTAACCACTCACAAATATTTCGCCCTTTGCACTTCGTCGCCGAGTTGCAGACATTGTACGTTTTGGCGATGGTAAGGATGTAAGACCGATTTAAAATTCTCCACGCAACACTTTGGGAACATGGTAACTGGGCTGCAATCCGCCTAGTACTTGTACCAGGATTATCCAATGCTAAATTAATCACTAAGAGTCGCTCTTGAACGGTAAGCCGGACACCATGGCCTCTAACTTCGGGAAGTCTTGCAATTCCATATTGCGCGAAGTCTTAGAAATGAACGGGTAAAACCTCTGGGGTGGTTGGCATCTGTTAGGAAATCTACTTTGATGCTCCCGAGAAGCCGCTAAAGCATTTCCATTACAGAACCGGTACACAAAAATAATATCGGCTTACTCGTCAATGCTAAATTCCATTTCACAACATTCAGAAATGGAAAAAAAACTTTTTTCTCGACTTTTACAAAAAAAAAAAATGGTAATAGTAACGATAAGAACCGTATAACACATAACTTTGACAAACTTTCTCCCAAGAAACGTTAAGTTGGAATCAAGGCCTCCTATTTTATTTTAAAACTAATCGTATCTCGACTCTTCATGAATGATCTAATTTGTTTTATTTTAATTTTTAAGAAAACGTGGCACTCTAGGAAAAAACACTACAGTAATTGTTTATAGCAAATTGAAGGTAAAATTCTGAAAATCGCGCGTTTCGAAAAAAAAAACAGCGGCGTACTATTTTTATTTGGAAAAATAATGCCACTATTTCCCTGTATCTCTGCCACAGGTGCACGTTAATTTTAAGTGAAGACTTTTGAAAGTAAACAATACTAAAGTAAATCCACACACCAAATTTAAGTTCGTTCTAGTTGAAGGTTTTGAGGATATGAAAAAATCGTTTTTATTTTTAAAGTTCACCACTAGGTATTTTTTAATGAAGCCTTCGAGGAAAAAATGTTACATAGAAGACCCCCCTTAAAATGCGGTCCTGTGTATGATGTTTTATTTTTGGTCACAATTTGTGAATCGACTTTGAAGTTGAGTCATTAATTTTCAGATAATGATTCTAGAAGGAAGATAAACCAAAATATGGGTGTAAAAATAAAAAAAAAATTAAAAAAAAATGTTACCTTGTTTTATAAAGTATCCTCCCGACAAGTATTTCAGTGCGGACCTGTATTTGATCGTGCGGTCTTGGAGCATCGGCATGCTGTGAGGTCTTAAGTCACCTGATTCACGAGCCCTTTGTACTACATTAACAAAGGCACGACGAGTTGGTTGCACTCGATTGGGAAACCGATCCGCATAAATCCGTGATGCCCCTATAAATAAGAATCAGCATTTTCGTGAACATGTGCCATTTTTTATTTCGTTTGAGCCACGCAACAAACACCAATATTCACTCACGCGTTACCGACTGACACATTGACTGAATACAACTGAATAAAATTGTAGTAAAAATATCGTTTCAAATTCTTTCGCTTTTTTGTTTCCGATGCGATGAACCGATAAGGCGGATTATATCCGTTGTTGCCAAACACAAGCACTTAATATTATTATTGAGACAGGGCGGTACTCAAACTTCTAAAGGGCTATAACTTTGTTACTTTAATTTTACCAGAAAAATGTTAAAGGAAAAAAACATTTCTTTTGATCAGATCTACTCACTGTTAAAATAAATGACTCAACTTCGAAGTCACCCTGTATATACTAGTAACGTGATGATCAATTTCTAGAAAAATCAGGAGTTCAACAAACTGTGAAATGTATCGAAAGACCTAGAAATAAAGCTGACAGCTACATAAGTGACATCGTATAGCGTAACCTGGAATTTGACAACACACGCCTAATGCGCTATACAGGGTGTTACAGTATTTTTGATCTTATAAAGGACAAGAGGCCCTAGTGTCAACTTTATCGAAAACTTGAGTAACATCAAGACATGCAGCCGTGCACTATTATTCAGCTTCCAAGCTCTCTTGAATCTTTCCTGCTATTCTATGAACTTCCTCAATTGTGCTATGTTGAGAACGGAAGCCAAATAGGTGATTTGGAGAATTATTTCAAGTTTATTGAATTCTGGCGACATGCTGAGTAGCAGTAATTTTTGTATTATTTTCGAGGGTATGGTTCGTCTGTATGATGGACTTCTGAATTTTTTCCTGCTAAATCTTGTCCAGCTGTTAGATCGTATCGTGGTGATTTCCTGGGGCCAAATTCTCCAGAAGGTGATTGTAAACTGGTCTTCCTTGTTTTCCTCTTTAAAGTTCGCTTCCACTAAAAAGACTACTGATACAAAGATCTGAAGTGAAATAAACATGGAAACACCAGTTTTCAAAACCCGCGCAGTTTTTTAGGGTAAACTCCAAACGAATTAAATCCCAACACATCATTAGAAAATGACAATAAAATCCACAATCGTCAACCGAACGCTGCTCTGAAAATACGAAATGCCGAAGCATTTTATGTGCAATTTTTCTCAACAACATTTTCATAATCCTCTCATTTGACCCATGAACCGTTCTCAACTGAATAATGCATATGCAGGACGGGTATGCCATGGAATAGTAAAAACGCGAAATTCGAATAAACGTCAATAGCAGACACGTTCGGCTGACAATTATTTCGGATCTGGTTCATGCGCTTCCCTACAGTGCGCTGATAAATTGCTGCCTGCCAGTTGTACATATTGGTAAATAATTCCGGAATGCTTGTTTTCTTTCGATATGAGCGGATAAATTCGCCGATATTTGGAACGTATTTTTACTAAACAGTTCAACAGAGCAGAACCTTGGCAGCCAATTCACGAATTCTTTTTATTAAAGCAGTCGCGAATAAAAGAAGTTTTACACGTAAGCATGTTGACTATTGTACCTAAATAGGTCGAGGACACCGTATTGACTCAAATTTAATACTGTTTGAAGGCTAGTTATTAATTTCAGCAAGTGGCGTCTTTGTGTTAAAGTCTTATCTGTTGTCAATCATGAATCTGGTGAAACTAAGGACCGTTTTCTGAACTATTTACATCCAATACCGATTAAAACTTCTTTCAAATACCAGATTGGAATATAAACATGATTAACAGCAGTTATATTGCTTAGGAGTATATAGCTTTTTCTCAGTGCATTGGGACTTTTTTGAATAAAAACAATGTAATTTGTAAACATTGACTTGCTCAATTGCCTTAATTCCATGAAAAAGGTTTACTTTTAATGAATCAAGGAAGCTTTAAATATAGATCTGCTTTTATTTTTTGTTTCCATGTATAATGCGATCTTCGTTTGTAGTAGTGTGTAATTTACGAACAATTTTAAATCACTCAAATACTTCATACATGAACACCATTTACCTTTATATCAGAAAAAACCTCATAAAAAGTTCAGACGGAAAATGTTAAAATAGACAAGGTGTCAAACAGTGTCGGCCATATGGCGCTCTTGAGCCGAAATGCAGGAATCAAGCCTCTCCCGAAATGAGCCCATTGCGTCCGCCAGCATCCGTGCAGGAATTTGGGTTACTTCTCTTCTTATTTCCTCCTTCAAATTGACGAGGTTCCAAGGCTTGCTTTGGTAAACTTTTGATTTCAGATAGCCCTATAAAAAATTCACACGTTGACAGGGCCGGGGAGCGAGGGGGCCATGGAATATCGTCGGAGAGGCTTGATTCCTGCATTTCGGCTCAAGGGCGCCAGATGACCGACATTTTTAGAACGTAAATTTTGTTTTACTCAAAAAATGGCATATATTTTTGAGTATTTTGATGTAATAAAATAGTTTTTCCATACTTATTTTGACTGTACTCATTTAAAAAACATGCGTTCTTTCTGACGGACCCTTTTACCTGTATTATGTATTTCATCGCAACGACGTAAGTAAACCTGCTCAATGCTCATGTCAAAAGCAAGCTGGCATCTCACTGATCATTTCGCTTTTACGCCAAAGACATGTTTAACAATGCATCTATCCGGAAACGGCAGACCTTATGTCTCACAAAACATTTCTACGTATGTCCAGCCACACGTGCCGGTGGACATTGTTTCTACCAAACGTTTCACTACACGTTCTACATGTCGCGTCGGTTCACATTCACGAAAGGGCGCACGTAGTAATTACTTTTCAAACAACTGAGACCAGTAGGGTACTCCGCAAATGCCAATTCAATTACTAAAAGGTACTTTTCGACACAATACACATGGAATCGTACGAAATCCAAACCTGCACAGATCGGTAAAACGAGTAAGTAGTCCAGGACTATTAGACGAAAAGAAGGTCAATGTACTAAAAAAATCCCAACTGGCTGAATTTTTTACCAGAGCTTCGTTTGAACATTATAAATCATTCCTCAAAAGTTCCCATGAATTCAAGTGGAGCTTTCTTTTATGGGGGGTCAAAGGTCACAGAAAACACTATTTTAAATATATCTTGGAAAATATCAACTGTAAGATGAAATGAGCTATTTACCTTTTTTGTTTAATATGAAATTCTCCAGGAGAAAAGTTCAATGCATTTTTTCGTAGAGACCCCCCATTTACAGAAAATTGCGTGAAAGTGTTGTAATTGACAAAAATCAAAAATGTTTCCTCAAACCGTTTTCTTTTTGAATGTTTGCGGTAGGGGTATATAAGTGTCCCCTCTTGTGAGCTAGAGCACATCTGGCCCTTTTTTTCTTTGTAAAAATGTACGTCACTGTATACCTGACTGTGGGGCATTGACGTCATTTGACCAGTCTTCAGACCAGTATTCTCCTATTGTCAGTTGGATACAGACGCGTCAGATAATTTCAGACAGTTTTTACGTGATATTATTGATATATAAATTGAAAAATGGCCGAAAATTGCATTATTGGCGACCAATTGCTGTCAGACGGAACAACTGCTTGCGTCGAGCGCGGTATTAAAACCTTACGTGACGCCAGTATCGAGCGAAATGATAGAAAAATTACATTTTTTAGGAGTGTTGAATCGATCAGAGTGAACGTGGTGTATCGCAAAGAATATAGTCGTGCAAGTAGCATTACTTCTGCTAAAAGGGAGCGAGATGAGGAACTCAGCACCTAGCCCTCCTCGGCGAAGAATGCGTTCTACCGAGAGCGAGCAATTTGAATTTGACAAAAAATGTTTATTTTTTGGAATGGCATGTTGCGAAGAACATGAAAAAAAAGTTCCCATATTTCGTCGTCGAAAAATCAAGGAGGTCTCGACATCATCTTTAAATCGACTGGGCTTGTTATAAATCAAAAGCGCAATGATTCTCTTGGTAGAGTAGCTGAATATCGCATTACTTATGAAGAGGATTTAGTAGCAGTAAATGCGGAAATTTTTTTGAAAGAGCTGACATCAGAGATTCAGCAAAAGTATTCAATGAGGAGGGATGTTCTCCGGATATTATTTTCACAAATGGTATCAAATCATTATTAGCGATATATGGTGCTCCCCCACGCGATGAATCTCTTGACCATCAACGATATAACTGTTTCGGGAAATCGACAAGGTATGATAAAGCTGTTAAGCTTTCAATGCTGCCACCAACATCGAGTGCTGCTCAAGCACATTTATGTCGTGTGTATTATCAAGTCCAGAAATGGCATGGAAAGAATTTAAATCCATTAGATTGGGGATGGACTATGACCGACGAATATTTACAGCCAATATAAACTTCATTGCCACCTGCTCCTGATATCTCACTAAACACATTCTTTTGTAATTGTACGAAAGGTTGTGGAGCTAATTGCGGATGTAGGAAACTCGGCCTGCACTGTTCCGCCATTTGCGGCTACTGTCATAGACAGTCATGTCAGAATATGATCCCGAACAATGGAGAGTCGAATAATGTGGAATTCGATGAGAATATAGACCCCATAAATTTCCTATGCTTAACACTTGAGGTTGGCGAAGACTTAGATGATGCCGCATCATGTCACAATGATGACTAAGGAAAAAAGTAACAATAACATCATTTTCTCATTCATTCATCTTCATGGATTAGGCCTATTGGGGAGCTCACATAAAAAAAATGCGTCTGGTACTTTACCTCTGTGGTGACGTCGAAAAAAGTACGTTATCGTACAATTTTCTCAATGTTCAACATTGAAAGTAAAATTTCTTTAAAAAAACGATCTTTACGAAAAAAATGCATGGAACCTTTTTTGTGTAGAATTTTATACTGAATAAAAAAGGTAGTAGCTGATTTTATAGTAGAATTGATACTTTCGAAGATATATGGAAAAAAGTGGTTTTTGTGACATTTGACGCCCCATAAGAAAAAGCTCCACTTGGATTCATGGGACTTTTGAGGGATTATAATGCTGAACAGAAGCTCTGGTAAAAAAATTAGCCAGGTGGGATTTTTTCAGAACAGAAAGTATAATAGTCCTGAACCAAAGGCTGAAAACAGTGGAGCGACGAGGATAGGGACGAGCAAACAGCGAACGTATAGTAAAGCGACATAGTACATCGCGACTAGGCGCGTTTAATGCGATTATAATCAAAGTATTTTCTAATTATGTTAAGGGCATCTCAAGTATGGTATTGGTACTTGTTACAAAAGCGCTGTTCCAGTAGTATCCACAAAACTTTTAAATGCAGGCGAGAATATGGTAAATTCCTTACTCTATATGAAAATTTGCGACAGCATCGTGAAAAATTTTACCAGTACACAAGAATGACAATTGGAACATTTGGGATATATTTAATTTAGTCAGGTGTAAATTAGCAGAAAATTGGACCAATTTTAATAACACAATTTATAATAATAATAATAATAATTTATAATGGAATAATCTATACATCTGATTATACAAATGTCAACCAAATGCGCCAAAAAATTCATGGAGCAACAATAAAAATTATGGGAAACGCAAATTCATTTCAAAGACTAAAGGACAATTATATTCGAAGGTGTCGCTTGTGTATAGAAAATAATGTAGGCCATTTCGAATATGTTCGTTAAAAGTTAGTTGAATTAAATTACCTTAAACATTTGTCGGTAAATCGTCATCAAGAGCAGCTAAACACAATAGGTTCTGTACTTGTAGGTGGTGATTTTTTTTATTGCGTGTCTTACGCTTATTGCATCAAAATAACGAATGTGACGTGATGCACTTATCGTAGCAAGCTGAAATTTTCAGGGTCTATTCTACACGGACCTGAATTTTTTTTACCGTCCTCCAAAGTTGAGGGATGGAAGAGATTTTTTACAAAAAAATATTTTTAAGATTTTTCGGGTTGATTTCTAATAAGCTCTGTTAAAAAGTGACATACCAATTGCTGAAACTAACCATTTAGCTCATCTCAGAAAAAAATCACAGCCCTAAACCTAAATTCCGATTAAAAGTTCATTTTCCCGTTTTTTTAGAAATTTCACAAAATTGCAGACATCTCCTGAACTATAAAATTTCGGACCACACATATAGGAGTCCATTCGATAGGTTTTGAGGCCCTCTATCACCTGACATCCGTTAATCCACTACTAACTTCACACCCTGTATAATCGTCTTTGTTAATACTAATCCTACGTCTTTCACTGCTGCGGTCTCCGTTAGATGGCATTAGATCAGGGATGCAAGGAAGTGGGGAGATATTGTGTGTATCTCACTTGCGAATGAATGTTTCTTCCGCTATTTAAGCCTCAAGATCTCATAGTGGCTAAAATATGAAAAATATGCCTACATGCTAAGTGTCTAATATAAACACTATCCTGGGTTATTTTGACGTTTTATCTTTTTTCAGGAAATCAACTATGACTCACCAAGGGGTGGTGTGAGTGTCATCACAGAGAAAGGTGACCAGACCGTGAGTTACCTGTTGGTCCAGAGGGCGCGAGCATCAGACTCGGGAAAGTATGCGTGTAACCCATCGAATGCCAACCCCAAAACGCTCATCGTCCACGTCCTTAACGGTGAGTGAATCATTTCTGACATGTTTGCTCTCATCACAAAGGTCGCGCAGATAATATCGTGCTAAAATGAAAGGTGACAGGTATGGCACAGAATCCAGTCACAAGTTTTCTGTTTTGCTTTTTGGCAGAGCGCGTTTATGTGATTTATATGAAAAATCAATCTGGAAAATACGAAACGGGATGATGCGCTAAGCAATGCAACTACACATTTTTATATACAGAAAGATCCGCATGCTATGCGCATTACTGCCTGTTCTTGCTATACAAGGAAATTCAAGGAATGATGGCAATAGTCCAAGAGCGGAAAGTGTTTTTTTTTAATATTACTGTCTTGAGATGGAATCACCCCCCGTCGTACTAAATACCTATAACTTCACCTTATTTACAAAGTAGAACGAATTTAAGCTTTCTATAAGCACGTTCTGCCAAAATGTTAATTCTCAAAATGACTGTTTCACAAAGATCAGTGACGTAGAAAATGTCTCCGTTTTTCTCTTCTGTAGGAGTCGAAACCAATATTCAGTAAGCAAATATTTTAAGACCTATGTTTACGTGAGTCTTTATGTTATTTTCAACCTACCGCCTATACGGAAAGCATCGCGAATATTTCCTGAATAACTCTGGGTCTCTGGTAACCAAAACATGTATATATATATATAGAGAGAAAATTATCATGCGGAGAAAGGTATATAACAAAAATAGGGAAATAATGGACAAAATCCGCAAAAAGTGGATTCGAGCAGAAAATACTATAGGTAACCCGAGCGATACGTATTTCTGCTGGTTGGCTTCATCAGGCCCGAAATGAATGCACATATGCAACTACAAAAGTAGAGACACATGCCCATACATCCGGATACGGGTGTAACCTGAGGAAACGAAGATGGAGAGGAAAAAAAGACACACGAAGTCCACAACAAGAGCCAACCTACACATTGTAGTATAAAATGGCTAGAAGACCTCGAATTTTCAAGGCGACAAATAACCACAACCACGCGGCTGGTTATAGCCACTTGCTGTGGTACTTCAAGCCCAAAGGATCTACAAAGAGAAAATTATCATGCGGAGAAAGGTATATAACAAAAATAGGGAAATAATGGACAAAATTATTTCCTATTTTTGTTATATATATATATATATATATATATATATATATATATATATTTCTTCTTTCTCTGGTACATAAAGAAATAATATATATTCCTAATAAAACATGAAGCTCTATTTTCGGTGCATAGACAAAATAATACTAAACGAAATATAAAATGTATCCATTACAAGACATGAGTACAAGTTGCATTATGAATAAAATGTGTCTTAATTAACGCGAGGCATGGAATTGTTGCTGTGCTGGGATGAGATGATTTGGTTCTCTGGTTGCCAGTTTTAACCTGAGTTGCGGTTTAATTTGTTCCTTTTTTGTTTAATGTCTATTTAAAGTCTACAGGTGTTGAAAAAGCAACGCCACGTAAATATGAAGGGGGGCATGGCAAAATGTAAACTTTTTCTGTTAAAGCTGGATACATGTTATGCATTTGTTACCAGAATAATGTTAAGCTACACTCATTATGTTTATTTTTTGAGAAACCGTGAGAAGCCAGTTCCAACAGTTGTTCTTCTTCTGCATGAGACAAACCTTATGTTATGGACTGCGTGTTAATGTTAAATTAATATCTGATCCAGCAGTACTGGTCACGCGTACCGCCTCTAAACTATTCTCCTACCCCTTGCGGGTAAGCGTACCATACTTTGAGAAACTCCCTCGGACCAATAACTGAGATCATCTACTTCAATACCTGCGTCAAGATCGACTTCCTGAATATCAATCACCCGGCTTCAGAGGTAGTTCTCCTCGAATATTTCATTGCCAATAATGAGCTCTGGTTGAGCTCAAACAAGACCGATGCAGCAGGTCGTGTAGTTGAAGCGTTTGCTCTTAATCAAGGGCTGACTCAACTGGTGACGAGCCATACTTTCTGCCCCCGCTTCTCGTCACATGCCAGTAGCCTTCTGGATCTCTTTCTCATCACGCATCCTATCCCTTACAACACTGATGACCTGTCTTTCCTAGGTAACTCACACCACGGTGTTGTGGAGGTTAGGTTCCGGTCAGAACCCGCTGTGGCAGCAGAAACTCGCACAGGCCGCAAAAAAAAGGATC